TAGAATATTGTATTTGACTATACATGAAAATTTGCTGGAAGACGCCAAAATCTTTCCGCATATAGAATATTTATGTTCTACAGAAGAGAGTGAGCAGAGCTACTGCATGGAGGACTACATGCGTTTTGGAAAAATGCAGATAAAACAAGATATCAACAAAAGGATAGCATGGGACATACCTGTGTTTTAATAGAAATTTACCTGTAAACTAATAATAATAAATGTTTTTTTAAAATTCAGTGTGTGTGTATGTTTTATCCTTACCCCCATAATAAATAGTAAAAAAAAATAACTTTATTAAAGAAAAAAAAATAACAACAAAATATAATCAAACAAAACATAGTACCACTGGAATGAAACCTTCAGAAATTACCCCAACAACGGAGATTCTCGCACATAATTTACCAAAAAAAAAAAATTTGCAGTGGAAAAGTCAAAGTTCAAAGCTGGCGATGCAGTGAGCATAATTCGCACAAAATCGGTTTTTGTAAATCGACTTCATAAAACGAAGCTTTGATTTAACGCCCCTCCATATCTTCCAAAATATACGTAAGAGGGAAGGAACCACTTACTTTAACAATCTTGAAATTTTCGGGGGTGTCCAATTAATTTCATAGCTTTTGTCAAAAACCGATTTTGTGCGAATTATGCTCACTGCATCGCCAGCTTTGAACTTTGACTTTTCCACTGCAAATTTTTTTTTTTTGGTAAATTATGTGCGAGAATCTCCGTTGTTGGGGGTAATTTCTGAAGGTTTCATTCCAGTGGTACTATGTTTTGTTTGATTATATTTTGTTGTTATTTTTTTTTTCTTTAATAAAGTTATTTTTTTTTACTATTTATTATGGGGGTAAGGATAAAACATACACACACACTGAATTTTAAAAAAACATTTATTATTATTAGTTTACAGGTAAATTTCTATTAAAACACAGGTATGTCCCATGCTATCCTTTTGTTGATATCTTGTTTTATCTGCATTTTTCCAAAACGCATGTAGTCCTCCATGCAGTAGCTCTGCTCACTCTCTTCTGTAGAACATAAATATTCTATATGCGGAAAGATTTTGGCGTCTTCCAGCAAATTTTCATGTATAGTCAAATACAATATTCTATCGTAGTACTCGTAAAAGTTCAAACGAGACAGTACTCGTATTCTTTTAAATACCAATTTGCTTATGGTAATTAATTCCTGTACCCAGTCTTTCGAAATATAGAGTATACCCTCGTTATTTTCAATCTTGACCAAGACTTCACCATCACATTGTAGACAGCTGAGTTTGAAGCAGGTTAAATACATAACTTTACCAGTCGGACCTGCTAACAATAACAGTGGAAGCTGTTGTATTAATTCTGTGAAGTCTATCTCGTCGAACGAAATGCTTCTTTTCTCCGACAAAACGTAGGGGAGAAAGCTCACTTTCACTGCCGGAGCGAAGATTCTTGCGGGGCTAAGACCTGAGGTAATTTCTAGTCCGAATTCCGGCAGCGTAATTGCTACCTCGTAAATGTATTTTTGTTCGCGGATTATTTCCGCATTGACCACAAATCTTCCCCACGAATCCAATGCTTGCGTTGGATAATTTTCGACTTCGGACATTTTTCTCACTCTGCACTTATCACGAAATTGTATGAGTGGAAACTGAATAAAAAATTAAAATTTCTTATAGCTTATATATGTATAACCCCACCCATTCCCCAGATCCAAAGCGAACGCCGCACAAACTTGTTTCGACAGGAAAAAAACCTGACGGAGAACCTCCATCCATCCCGCTTTTGTTTTAGACAAGCTCTGACAAGAAAAAAAAGTACGTATCAAATAATGCGCCATTTTAAAAGGGGACATATTAACAATAGTGAAACTATTTATATTAAGATATACCTTTATCCTCTTTGCAAATAATTTTCTACTCGCTCACAGGTAGGATCATGAAGATCCTTCAATATTTTGTTGCACCAGGTATTTAGCTTAGCCTAGAATTCTTTTGAAAAAATTATTATTTTTAAAAAAGGCGCGCGCTAGATCAGTTGCCGTTTCAGCGATATTTCCTTGTTTCCCGTGTCGGAGTTTATCTCTTTTCTTTTGTGCATATTCTTGTTTTAATTAAATCTTGATTATCTTTTTATGCCAATTTTGACGATCATCTAATTTTTTGTAACTAAAATTAATTCAATAGAAACAATTAAGGCGAGATGATGCCCGGCAGCTGTTGTATTAGGTATGAAAAAGTCAATTTGGATGAAGGAGATGCTTCTTTTGTCCCGACAATGTACAAGAATAAACCTGTCTAACCATAGCAAAATGGGGCCCAAAACTGTGACACTAGGCGAGAGTATGCGTTATTTGGAAGTTAAATTTTAAAAATCCTTTGTAAAATATTCACGGGGGGGGTGTCAAGGCGTCAATTTTTATAAACATCGGAGGTCAGTGTCGGAGAAATAAGGGTTCTTCTTCCCTTTTCTCCTCGTCTCTTTTTAACTCCGTTTTGAGTAATTTGTAATAATTTGAGAAAAAAAAATCCAGTACCCGAAAAATGGACACACATTTGCAAGCAAAACAAAAAAAATAGGATAAAAAAAAACTATAAAATATAGGCGCCAATGCAGGCAATAGTTTAAATACGGGAAGTTACATTTTTAAACATAAATTCAGATTTTCGGTGGCAATATAACTCTATTTTTCGTGTTTGTTAAGAACCAGGCTTTGGAAACGTCTGGTTAAGGCCACAGGCCATTAGCTTCTAAATAAACGCGAGATATCATGAAAACCGAAAAAGTTTGAATGGAATCTAACGTTTCCTTTTGTTTCTCAAAAATAGTAATTAAGCGGAAAAGTACTCGTAGTATATTGATTAATTGTAGAAATATCTCATTTTCTACAAAACAACTTAAGTTAAATAAAATGCACATTAAATTATTATAAATTACCGCTTTGTTGTATTCGCTATTTACTATGCCCCAACCTATGACGACACTGGAGGGTAGCTTAAAATTTGACCTGCTTGGTTTACCTGCCTTTCGTAGGAATGCGGGTTGTTTCACGTGTCAGTCGAAGTTTAAAGAAGCGTTTGTGTTAAGGGTTCGTTTCTGTTATACGCGTTTGTTGCTTAATGCAATATCGTCAACGAGTTTAAGTTTTGTGTTCAATGTGTGTTTCATATACGGATAAATAAAACAAAAAAGACTGGAAAAAGATAGGTAAGAAGCTTTCGGAATTGCGACTTTAATGAGTAACCGCGTAACATTTTGACCTAGTATTATGTATATGTTCGACGAGGTTTCTATACTTAATTAAAAAAAATTGGGGAGTGATCAAAGGAGGCTGAGGTCGGAGAGACGGATCTTGTTTAGTATCAATTTTTGTTTAATAAAACAACCAAAAATGCTCGCTTACGTTTTTGAAGTAGGTAAAAAGGAAACAGAATTTTAATACAAATAACGCACGATATATCTCCCAAAAAATTCAGCCATATGAACAACGCGAAGAAGTTAAGCAGATAAAATTTTACAAGATTTTTGGGGGGCCTAGTGTAAATTCGGATTGTGGAAAGTAACAGATAGAGAGAATGAGTGACCTATATAGAAAAACAGAGACAGAAAGGTAGATTTATTTAAACGTTTCTCAATCATCCACCCATCGGAGATAATAAATAACATTCGCTAGTTTTTTTTTTGCATGTATTGAGTTCAGTTCGGAATAGAAATATGTCAATAGTAACAATTTAAATATGGTAATTTTTGGGGATTGTTATACGTCCGCCAGCGTATTAAAAATATGGTTTTAGGGGTTAGAACTTTTAAGTTTCAAGAAAAAAAAACTCATGTTGAAATTTTTGTATTCGGAAGCTTCTGTTGTTTATTAATTTATAGACACTGGAAAATATAAAAATAAAACATCCTACAGTTGACATACGTGTCCTCTTAAACTCGAAAAGAGCTAATTTATCTTAGAAGAGTACGTATTTTTGGTAAAATAGATATTTTTTATATTAAATATTTGACCGATCAATGTAATTCGTCAAGCAGAAACCGAGAAGAAAAGTGACGCTTGTGGTGTTTGCTGACAATCCGACCCTGCTTCGTGTACAAATGCAATGACATTTCGGCAGGGCTATAGGCTACGAAACCTTTCAAACTCGAAAAGGACGAACTGTTTTAAAGAAAAAAGGTACTTCATTTTTGGTAAAAGTAATAGATAATTTTTTTTTTTCGCTAAATATTCCACAGATCGATGTAACTCGTCAAGCAGAATCCGAGAAGAAAAGTGACCGGGGGTGCTGTTTGCTTACAATCCGACCCTGCTTCGTGTACAAATGCAATGCCATTTCGGCAGGGCTATAGGCTACGAAACCTTTCGAACTCGAAAAGGCGCTACTAATTTTGAATAGGTACTTCATTTTTGGTAAAAGTAATAGATAATTTTTTTTACGCTAAATATTCCACAGATCGATGTAACTCGTCAAGCAGAATCCGAGAAGAAAAGTGACCGGGGTGCTGTTTGCTTACAATCCGACCCTGCTTCGTGTACAAATGCAATGCCATTTCGGCAGGGCTATAGGCTACGAAACCTTTCGAACTCGAAAAGGCGCTACTAATTTTGAATAGGTACTTAATATTGGGTAAAAGTAATAGATAAGATTGTTTTACATTAAATATTTGACAGATCGATGTAACTTGTCAAGCGGAATCCGAGAAGAAAAATGACGGATGTGCTGTTTGCTGATAGTCCAGAACGGCTTCGTGTACAAATGCATGGCGGGGAGACCAGAAAGTTTTCGAAACTGCGTGAGTGGAAGTCTGCGTTGGACAAATTTTGAAAATATCTGAAGGTTTAACGAATTTTGGAGAATTCGACAGAGCTACAGATTACGAAACCTTTCGAAACGAACACACGTGTCCTGTTGAACTTGAAAAAAGACGAAATTATTTTTAAAAAGGTATATTGTTGCTAAATAATAGATTTTTTTTTAATTAAAATATTTGACAGATCATGGTAACTCGTGAAGCAACATCTCAGAATTGAATCGGGGAACGAGGAATCAAAAAAAGGTTAACAATTTGGATCATTTTGGAAGATACATACGCCGCGCTTTTCAAAGCGGACAGACGTGCCCTTGTCCAACTGAAACGAACACACGTGTCCTGTTGAACTTGAAAAAAGACGAAATTATTTTAAAAAGGTATATTGTTGCTAAATAATAGATTTTTTTTTAATTAAAATATTTGACAGATCATGGTAACTCGTGAAGCAACATCTCAGAATTGAATCGGGGAGTTGTGTATTTGCTGGCAATCCGGGCCTGCTTGGATCATTTTGGAAGATACATACGCCGCGCTTTTCAAAGCGGACAGACGTGCCCTTGTCCAACTGAAACGAACACACGTGTCCTGTTGAACTTGAAAAAAGACGAAATTATTTTAAAAAGGTATATTGTTGCTAAATAATAGATTTTTTTTTAATTAAAATATTTGACAGATCATGGTAACTCGTGAAGCAACATCTCAGAATTGAATCGGGGAGTTGTGTATTTGCTGGCAATCCGGGCCTGCTTGGATCATTTTGGAAGATACATACGCCTGCGCTTTTCAAAGCGGACAGACGTGCCCGTGTCCCACTTGACAAAGGCGGAATTATTTTAGGAAAGGTATATTATTTGTAAAAAAAAAATATACAATTTTTAAGTAACATATTTGACAGACCATGGCAACTAGTAAAGCAGAATCCGAGAATTCAATCGGCGGCTGTATGTTGACTGACAAGAATATAATTGCTGTTAATCCGGCCCTGCTTCTTGTACAAATGCATAGTGGGGAGACATGAACATTTTTCGAAAATGCGGCCCTATCCTCTTGGGATTCTACGTTGGACAAATTCTGAAAACGACCCAGAAATATAATTGGTGAGAAAATAGTTTTTTTTGTTGTGTTAACAGTTAACAATTTTTTTATTTTGGAAATAAGGGGTTTCAGTGTGTACTGGTAATAGTGAATCAATTTAATGACCTCAGCATCTCTAAACCCCCATCTTGAGACGCGTTAACGATCCGGATCGAGTTACGTCGCGTAATTGTGTCACTTTTTTAATTAAAAAATGAAAGAGATGTACCTACCATACTTTAGAAACCCCTACTCCCCTTTGGAGGTGATGAAATAAGTTTTGGCATAAAATATAAGTTCCTCGTATTACTTTGATATAAGTATAAGTCTTGCCTGTTTTTTTTTTTTAAAGGAGGTTCAAACCCGTGCGAGGTGAGGTTTGATATATGAAACAGACCAGTCATGGGGACACGAGATATGGAAAGTTTCAGCGTAGTCGTCGCCACATTGCTGCCAACACTGCATATATAAGGAATCACGAACCATTCAGGTAAAATTTTGAAAACACATAGTTATGGCAATATAGAACCTCTCTTTTTTTAACAGGAATATTGAGACTTAGACCAGTATCTTTTAAGTAGGCATGTGGGGTAAAGAAGACGCAGAAGCTTCACTCGGGTACCGTCGGTAACGTAGGCGATTGATATATTTCCACCACTACATATGTTGGATTGGAATTTCCCATTTGATGCTTTGACTGACTAAATGAGGAAACTTGGAGGTAAGCTCTTACGGAATTCTATCGAAATATGTTTAGTAACATATTGGTGCATTACTCTGTCTTCCAGTCAGTTTCACATAAACTTTGCACGTATTATAGAAATCCCACCTACTTTTTTTTGTGTTAATATTATTGAAAGTAGTAGCTGGTAGCTGTAGTCATAAGCCCAGAGAGTCTCTGTTTTGAACATAATACACAAAATGGGGCGTTCAAAAACAATAGACTGCATGCCTTTTAGAGTCGGCGTAAACTATGGTCATATACCCCTGATCAAATTCAGAACTAGAAAATCGTTGTGTCTCTGCATTAAAAATAATAGTAAAATTTATTGTAGGCACCTAGTAGAGTATCGAAAATTTCCATTTTTAGTGCCAAATTGGTTACTCCAGTAAATTCCAACTGTTCTAATTTTTTTTAAATAATTTATGATGTTAGTGAGTTTCATTGCAATTATTTGTTACTTAAATTTTCTACGTATTAAACCTTAATTAACAATACGTTATTCGTTAACGCAGGTAGAATTAATGACGCTAACTGACCTGATTTTGTCCAGGGGGGCGTAGTACGGTAGTTTGTACTGTGATGTTTGGTAGTTTGGCAGTGAGCTCTCATTTATGAAACTGGGGAATGTTTCGTTATCTTCAAATCGTAAACACGTATCATTAGAATTATATTTTTAAAATATTGATTAGGACATGTACTAAGTAACTAAATGTTCTAGCGAAAATATTCACACATATTGCGGAAAACGTACAAATTTAAATTAGAGAAAATTAACTATTTTTAGAGGTTGGTTTTTCAAAAAGGTGGGGATTTAGTTAGAGAACAGATAGAGACTAAAGGGAAGCTCTATGAGAAAAGTTAGAATTAAAAAGTCGATGTTTTCGTGTCATAGCGAAAGATGGGTTATTATTAAAAATAATACTTGCATTAATTGTTGTCACCATTTGTGAAAAATATGGAAAATATCCTCTAGGTTCGCATACCTTTTTTTAATTTTTTTAAGGTGGCTAACAAAATACACAGACAGAAAAGTTTAGATCCTGTTCGTTAATGTAGCGCATAGAAAAAAATTAGAAAAGAGAACGTTTCGTGTATGGCATACGTAGTTAGTACGGAATATTAATCTGAAGGCTTCAAGACAGTGAAAGAGTGATGCGCTTAAGTGTGGTTCAGAGAGGTTATTTGGGCTGTAGAAGTTTTTCTTTGAACAGGGTTCAAATAGCGTCTCCTAGAGCGTTAGCAGAGAAGAGTATTACAGTAATTAGTATAAGCGTCCAGATTTCATTGTTGTTGAGATTGGCATAGAAACACACTTTTATGTAGTAGTAGCAGCAGCTTTAAAGTATATGAGTTTTTAGTTAAGATGCCTTTCGAGTTTGCTTTATGGCTTGATAGGAAATTAAAGGGTAGATACAGATAAGTTACGAAAAAAAGTATGTACACTATTCTCAAAGATCAGCAATAAATAAAAGAAATTGATGAAATAGTAAAGTTGACTGCGATATCTGAAAATCATCAATAAGATAGATAAATTAATTTTGAAAATATTAAATAATAAAAACAAATAATAAAATAGCAAAGAAAATCAAAATCATCAATAAGATAGATAAATTAATTTTGTAAATATTAAATAATAAAAATAAAATTATAATAGCAAAGAAAGCCTACCACGGCCACATACACATAATATTTTCGACATATGAACTTTTCCCAGATAAATAGTCAAATATTTCACGATACCTTAAAACAGAAGCATGCGGAAATATGTATGAAGTTAACGCACGGTAGATGGCTTATTAATTAAAAAGGTATATGGTTTCTAATATCCTACTTTATTAATGAAAATTTTAACCAGGTTTTTGTTTTGCAGATATTATTGCTGGTGCCTGCCAGCTTCCAGTTCCGAGAAAAGAAATCCAACACTTTTCGTCTTTATTTCCCCTGTCCTTTGTGCGCAATAAAAGTACAGTTTGTACCCGCGAGGGTACACATTCGCAGAAGTATATGTTTTTAAAATAAATGTTTTGGTCAATATTCACTAGGTGGGGTTACCTTATTAAAGAAAATCTTATTCCAAGAGGGGACACTAGTTTACATTCGAACCGCTAGAGGGTGCAGATGGTCACGCGAACAATATGATCAAGTCTCATTGACGGCATTGCTTTTCTTAAGGGTGGGAAAATATCTGGGCTCTGATTGGCTTCGCCGCCATCGCAAACTAGAGGTGGGGAGATTGATTAAACCCCATTGGTGCTTGCTTATCCAATGGGAGCCAGTTTCAAGGGATTATGGGTAAAGGGGGAGGAGCTAGAGAGTCGTGGGGAAGGAGGACACGCCCACAAAAGGGAGAGGAGTGGGGGAAGCCTATATTGTACTTATTCACTACTATCGGTGTAATCTATTTCCTTGCTAAACAGGCTAATAACGTGTTAAAAAGTTGATAATTTTACTTGTTTTGCTATAAATTACACGTTTCTATTATCGCGTGATGATGTATCGTCAAATGTTATTTCTCAGTATCTGATTCCATATTACGCATTAAATCAAATTTATTATATTTCGTCTATAAAAATGTATTAAATTAAATATTTGTATGTCAGACCGGCAGCTATAAGCCGCCGTGCACGCCGATAGAATTTATATTTCATTAAATTTTCACGCTAATTGGCATTCCGTGTGAAGTCATTGACGTGACTTACAGTTGTTTATTCGATTCGTAAAGGGAGGGCCATTGATATTTACAATATTCAAGCAAGGCGCGTTACCTAATTTTTAAGCAACAAAGACACTGACCTTGCATTGCTTACATAAATTAATTCCGTCTCAAATGTTTTCCTTGTGCGTATGTAAAATACTTACAAGCTTCGAGCCTATTCCAAATTGATTTGTAATGATGCTTGGAATATATTTAAAACGCAAAAACAAATAAAAATCAAGAACAGAAGAGTATAACTTTTATTAAAATTTGATATGTTTCCTTCTGTTAGAAATCAGAATTCGTTTGTTGTGTGCCTATTACTACCTCGAAAAAAATGTTTGCCGGGATAATCTTAAACACGTCAATAGTAACTAGGGTGGTGGGCATAACCATAACTTGGATACTTGCGAATAAAAAAAAAATAAAAGAGTGGATGTTTATTTTTCCAAGACTTGCAAAACATAACTTTATGAATATAAATTAAATAAATAACCAACATTCCAAGAATTAAGAATCAATAATATTTTCTTACAAGTTACAAAAAAACAACTTACTACCTAAAATAGAATAATAATAAATAATTTAATTAGTTTTACTTTTTATAAAATTTCTGGATTCCTCCTGCGTCGGTTTTTGCTAAGTCGAACTTGCTGACGTTTCGCCAATCTTGTTGGCTTCTTCACAGCTTGACTGAAACTAAAACCGACACAGGATGAATCCAGAAGTTCTGTAAAAAGTATTACAGTAGCATGTAGTTACTTTGAAAAAGTAATTTAATTAGTTAATACTATCATAGCTAACACTGTGTAATACAATAGATCAGTATAATAATCAAGAAACCCAAAACTTAGCTTTTATTCATTATATGATCTTTTACTCTCTATTTGAAGGTGCAAAAACAGTTTGGGAGCCACATGAGAAAAGGACAATCTTGTTGACGTACGCTGGTACGTGGTACGTTGTACGCTGAGTTACCTATTGTGTTGAGTTTCACAACTATGAGTAGCAGACTTAGAAATAAGCTTTACGTGTAAATATTGTGGAGTTCCGCTTCTAAATATTATGCCATAAAGCAAATAGAGCTTTAATCGATTTTGTATATTTACCCATTTTAGATCACCATAGATTTCAAAGTTTGAGACAAATTGTTCTATTGATGGTGCAAATGCAGGACTGTCCCTGCTTTCCTAACGTACAGATTTTCACTCGCTTCCACGATTACCATGATGGTGTCTTCATTTCGGAATACGATTTAGTCTCTAGAGTTTTTCTTTTCCTAATACCTCTCTAGTAAAGACTGAAAATTATAGTATCTACGCGTCTTCTTTTGTACATTTTTCGACATTTGGACACTGACACACTGGACGTGGCCATTAGAGAAATAATTTATCTCAATTTTAGTTATCGCTAATAGCTTATCAACATCTTTAGCTTTGACGATTTTTTACGTTTTTACTAAGGTAACTACTACTTGATCTGAGTATTGGATAGACATGATGTTCTATTTGCAGGTTTCACTTAAATTCAAATGCAATTGGTGAATTTTTCACTTAAAATTTGGACAATATTGAATAAAAATTTGATACACCCAGCATACTTTTTAAAAAATGTATTTCAGGCATTTAAAGGGTTTCAATATTTGCAGGGTGATATATTTTTGAGGGATTTATTTTATTTCATTTATCTCAAACTTTTTTTGGGCACCGCCTTTGCTTTTTAATAAACAATAAGTTACATTCTGTGTTTAGTTTAGCATTTTTTTGATTTTTAATATTTTTCGCCATATTTGATAGATTTTTAAATATTTAAATTTTATATTTTAAATCTAATATTCGTAAAGCTGGAATATTTTTTTGATCCAACTAACAAGAATACTGGAATATTTTTATGATCCAACTAACAAGAATATTGGAATGTTTTTTTTGATCCAACTAACAAGAATACTGACTATGCAGCGTAGTCGGTCAATTGCACAAATATAGCGTATATTCGAGATTATATCATTCTTTTCACATGGCTGTTTGATCTAAATAGAAGCTAAGGGAGAGTAAACGTTAAGAGAATTGATAGTATTTTCCCAGCCTTAGCTAAATTAAGCCAATACAATCCAACATAATCTGAAACGTTAAGAAAACGTTGATCTATGGGTTTGGTAAAATTTACGCTTGCGCTGTGCGTCATCATGTTAATGATGTTATGATGATAATGTTATCATGTTAATCTTAACATCTCTAACAGTAAACGAGGCCTATTAAATGAACTATTCTATTAGTTCTAAGTCGTGGTTATACATTGTCTTGTATTCTGAATGGTTTTACCTTAAATATAACATATTGCGAAATGGACCAAACAACTTGGAACAGATTGAGATGAATTTGTCGCAAACAGCACGATTTCTAAATGTTGCAGGGCAGCGTTTCACTTAATTAACACAACCTGTCATCTCCTGAATAATTTTTTTCGGTTTTTTTCGTCCTACACGACTATAAGCTGAAAATGAAAATGAGGCCTTAAGGTGTTTTTGCTAATAAGTTATTTAAAATACTAACTAGAAATTTCGTCTTGCTCGTACGTAAACATTCTT